CTTCCTGCCACAAGCCGCCCGGTGCGCCACAAGCCGCATGGTTCAGGACAAGCCATGTTTCGGGGCCTGTCCACAAAACATCGCGTCACCAGCCCGGTATCGCCGCGTTGCCGATCCCTCGCTCCGTCGGGCCGCTGCGGCAATCCACTCGGGACTTGATGGTCCTGTTCATCCAAGGGTGGTACAGACTTGATTCCAGTTGGGCCGATTCCAACCACACCGCGACATGGTTTCACGCAATGTGATGCATCATCAAATCTACCGCAAGCCTTGTCGGGCACTGCCAGTGACGTAACGTTTATGTGAGTCGTGCAAGCCACGACGTGGCCGTGCGGGGTTTCCGGTGCTAGCGTCTGCCATTTCTACGAAGTACTTCGTACGCATGGGCAATTCAGACAACCCCAGCTTGAGGATAAAACAGCAATTAGCAATATCCCCTTTCGTCACTCGGCCGGCAACCGGTGGTGGTGGTGTGGATGTAACAGAGTCTCCGAGCTTCAGGTCATTCAGCACATTGACACGAGCGGAACCACTCCTCAATCACCCCGACTTTCGCCAATCAGGAACGGGTCCCAGATCCAACGTGCCCGTCCAATGTGAGAGTACTCCGTAAGCAAGCATGATACGAGTACATACGCCTTGTAGACGGGCAAATCGATGTCCGCGGAGGTGCGCCGTCTCCGCAAAGGAAGGGCGAACTAGCGATTTTGAGTTTCGTTTCCGAGAAACTTGATCCCGCATTCCAGTACTCACCCTTTCCACGCGTACTCCCCTCCCCGCATAAAATGGCCACCAGGGCCAAACACACATTGGTCCGGGCTATTCTCCCACAGTTTCTACAGACTGAAGCCTAGGCCTCTGAGGTGTGACAACGACGTTGCTGCCCACTGAATGGCCTCTTGGACAACCCCGTTAGCACGAAACAGTCTTGTCCGCAACCCGCTCAAGTTTGTGCTTTGTAGATCTTCCGTCACCCGTCCGACGCGTTTCTCTATACAGAAGGGCCAACCAATCAGTATGAGCAAGAAGACCGACATTACACTCTACACCGCGACAACCCCAAACGGGATCAAGGTTCCAATCCTGCTTGCGGAGCTTGGACTAGAGTATAAGGTACGCTGGGAAACCTGTGCTATGCTGGGTGACACTGGAGCGTCATAAACTATGAATAAGCGCTTACTCTTAGTAGCTGCACCACATGAAGTTAAGGGAGAATGAGCAGAAAGAGCCATGGTACCTCGACAATATCAACCCAAATGGTCGTATTCCAGCAATCACGGATATATACTATGATGGGCGGCAGATCCGAGTCTTTGAGAGTGGGGCTATCATGGAGTACCTTGTTGATCGCTACGATAAAGATCACAGGATCTCATATCCAAAAGACTCTCGCGAACACTGGGAGACAATGAGTTGGGTCCGTTGCAAGTCTCTATGCATCCCTTTAGACTCTGTGTTAACACTGTTACTAGCTTATGTGGCAGGTTGGCGGATTGGGCCCCATGCAAGGGCAACTCGAGCATTTCAGGAGTTCGTTGCCAAGAACATCCCACACAGCTACCCTACCGGATGCTGACTGCTCTCAGGATACGCAGCGGAGAAGATCGAGTATCCGATTAAACGGTACGATCAGGAGACACGGCGCCTCTATCGCACTATGGAGACGCACTTATCTAAGTCGTCTCATGGATTTCTCGTCGGTGACCGCCTGACTATTGCAGATATTGCATGCTGGGGCTGGGTTTCCTCTCATAGTAAGTAACTCGCCTTGCCTTACTCTTGATATCTGTATTATAATAGATACTAATTATACTTATCTAAAGATTCTGATGGCATTAGTCTAGACGAGTTTCCTGACTTAGAGAAGTGGCTATTTAAGTTATCAGAACGCCCTGGATTTCAGAACGGCCGTTCTATTTTAGAGTAGTCTTTCATAACGTGCGTTATCAGCGAGTGGACCATATCAGCGAGTGGACCACTTTTCACCACAGCACGCGCAAGATGTTCAATTAACCACCACGAAATGAAACAACTACGATAATTACATTAGAAATGGATTATTTAGACCCTCCAGTAGCATTCTGACAGGTTCGTACGTTATGACCAATGCCACC